GCTTGCGTGTTCTGTTTCCCCTCAGACGTCTCTGCCTATGGGCTCCCTCTGTCTCCCCATGTACTTGACAATTTAGTTGTTATTTAACAGCAGGATACTTTAACATATCTAACTAACTGTAACCTGTGGTATGATAACTTTGAGCTAGATATGTATAACCACATGGATTAAGCGGCAGAAATGGCTAGTTTTCCTAATAAGGAAAGATTAGACTTTTGGTACTACTACCACCACAGAAAGGTGTGGTACCTACAGCTAGATGACATGTGGTCAAATGCTATCTCACAGTTTGTGTGTGCGCTAACAGACAAGAACGCCTACTGGGGAGCTGCCTTCATATTGTGTTTGACCAACCTCAGGCAGCCCAGAGACCTCTGCACCCAGCAGTGCTCTCTACCTACAGACACTGGGACTCAGCTGATCCCAGTACTTCAGAGCTGTGGGCCACTGTATGCTAAGGTAGATGGCTAAATTACGTCAGCTCTGGCACATGATAGAAGTGCCTAGATAAACCAGCTTGGCTGTAAATGCTACATCCCACCTAAGGTATTTGCCAGCTACTGGTCTTGGCATAACTACGTCTTTGAAAAATGGCTGAGCAGGAGCCATTCCTAAGCATGTCGCAAGCATTGCTCTGAACTAATACGATATTGCTGCAGACAGAGCGTGTCTCGGTATTTCTACTTTGCAGGTCCATCTCCCCGCCTGAGCCCACGGGTGTGCCAGAATTATGCCCTTCACAAAAGCCACTAGCACTGCCAAGCAAGGCTGCCACCTCCAGCTCCAGCCCTGTCACAGTGTCCAGCAAGGCAAGCAGCTGTCCAAGTATCTGCTCTGTCGTAGGTGGACTATGAACAACTTAAGTTAACTGAAAGCAAGTAGGGAACCTGCACATGATTCTCTGTGTGTTGCAGAGTGTCGGCGGCCCCAGTTTGCCTGTGCATTTACTGTGGTGGTTTGTGTGTTGTTTTTTTTTTTTAAATATAAATGCTGAGCTGCGCCATATTTATTTGTAGGCGCTATATAATATTTCTTTTAAATGTCTAATTTTTTAAACTATTGTAAATGATGTACATTTGTATAAATAAATGTTTTAAATATTCAAATGAGGTGTGCTGCGTCCGGTAACAATGCAGATTTACAAGGCCTTCACCAGTCCTGCTCTCCTGCGAGCTGTCGTTCCCCTCCTCCTACACTGGAAAACAATTGTCTCCTTCCCTTCATCCCCTTTTAGTTTCTGTAATGCCTCGTTAGCAAAAGAAGACAAGAGCGAGCTGTATTTAGAGTATTTCCACGTCTGTTGTTTAAGGTCCTGCTGCAGCTAATGAGTGTTTCCCTAGATTGCAGAGGGAGCTGGACTAGGTTCCCTCCTATTCAGCTTCCACGGTAGGGGATAACCGACATCGGTAGCTGAGAAGCAAGAACACGTGTGTGGATATGCACATGGCCTTGACTGTCTCTTGACAACACTTCTGACCTTGCGTTTCAGGAAAGTAGCTGAAGGCCATAGCCTTCTAGCAGGTATGTCGGCTAGGTCTTTTGCATGCCCTTAAGCGTGAGGGCTACAGAAACCACAGCTTTGTGAACCACCCTGCCACGCAGGCAGGTGGGGATGCTGGTGCTGTTACGAATTGTTTTACAGCAAACGTCTGAGGTAGTTGCTGTCTTGCACGTGACCCATGAAGCTTCCTTTCCCTCATCTTTGCTTAACAAGCTTTAAGTTTTCCATAACTCTGCTGTCACACTAATATAATCCCAACATAATTCTGATTGTTTTCATGCAGCTATTTCTAATTCACACTTCTAAGACCAAGACTTTTTTTTTTTTTGATGTAAACAACTTAACTTTGTCAGACTCCTTTCATTAGTTACAGTGTTGTGGATAATGTGACAAGGATATATCTCAGAGGGGATACATCTCCCCCCACAAGCCTAATGGTATTGGTCAAGCTCAAGGCAGCCCTTCACAACAAAAAGCACACACACACACACCTACCTGAGGACAGGTTAAGCCTTAGTGCATTCCCCCCCCCCCCCAGCCTTACAGCACTTACTTAACTCTAGCTCATTTCTTAAGTTACAGCTTTTCTGTGTTAATAGCCTAGTGAGCTGAAGGCAGATGTTAGTTCCCAAATGCTTTGCTTTCATTTCTGCAATGCATTTGAGTTCATTGCCAATAAAGGCAATTCAGCTTTATGACTGACACAGGTCACGTCGCCTCGTCTTAGCCGTCACTACACAACGGCTTTGTGTGCTTTCTGAGACAAATCATCCAGGGGCCCAGCCCACCTCACCATATACCACTGCATGCAACTCTGCCTTGCTCATTTGACCTAGAATGCCAAACTGATGATTTGGGGGTTTGGTTTTGGTTTTTTTTTTTGGTCAGTAGTTGTACCTTGC